TATAAATTTCTGAACATATTGAATATTTGATAGAAAATTGAGTTGGGGGGCAAAGGTTTTGTTTCCCTCAGAGAATATTAATTGAAACCAAAGTCTAATGAAGCTAATAAAAATTTAGTAGATTGACAGTTGATTGTAAGATACGTTGGTTGCCAACCCACTAAAACTAATCTATTTCGTCTGTAAAACAGCATGTGAGGCTAATGACTTTGTTTTAACTTTGGCATCTACTTTAGGCTCCAAGAAGTCTCACAATGCAATCTTCCTTACACTTTCTGGTGATAACCCACGTTCAAGTCATCTGCATGGTATTGTAGGCCTCCCACACACGAGAGCACACACTTGTGCATCCACACACATGCATTCCTGTTAGGATCCTGTGCATGTAAGTCTGCAGAGCAAAGTCGGTGCTAAGCTGAGATGACGGAACCCCGCAATCAGGAAATTCAGAGGATGGGTTCCCACGGCAGCAGGACACTAACACTGCTTATTTGCTCTGATGGGTTTTTCCATTACACAATCGGACAACCCTGCAAATGTGACATAAATATTTGGCAGATCTTCACTTTGCAAACATACATTTTCTGTGTCATGTTGTATAAATGGTTTCTATAATGTAGATGAAGCTGTAATTGAAAGTTCTTAGTTTTGTACCCTATATATAAATATTTTGCTCATGAGACATAGCATTAATTCTGAATGCATAACAATATGAAAGATTGCTTTTTATAAGACAGTGTTTGGTTTAACCATGTATTTCTAATGTCAACAAAATGGACAAATGCTGAAAGATTAATTAATAATCACAAATAATGCATGAAGTATACATTTGGTAAACATAAGATAAACAAGAACATCACTTTGCTCATGAAAAATGTTTTACATTTATAATCTTATAAAAAGTTAGGAACTTCAAAATACAATAAGTCTAAAGACAAAATTTTAAATGTGGGAAGCAAAAAAGTAAATGACTTATTTAACTCTCTGTTCTTTCTGTGCTATAAATTTGGAATAAATGTGACATTGATGACATTTTTGTTGTTTCGTACACATTTAATAATACTAAAATATGTAATTCTTATTGGTTATAACTATTGAAGTGTCGTGTCATCAAATTGCATGAGGAAATTTTGTTGAAATGTGGTTACGTGCATTTTTGCTTGTTTGTACTCTTAGCAAGCCAAATCAAAATATGTAATGCTACTCTTAAATTTTAGCCCTCATTTCAGATGATTAAATTAAATGCCACACCAATGTACACCAAACAACACACGAGTTGTATGAAATCACAGAAGCAGAGAGCCAGCCTCCTGCTCGGTCACGCGGTCCTGCTCTGACCAATTCTGTGGGATTCACTGACTCCGCACGTGGTCAGCAGGCGTAGCTTCTGAGCAGGCACTGTGCCAGGCCAGGGATTCCAGGATGCCTTTCAATGTGGCCATGTTCCCCTCAGTGTTTCCCCGTCCAGCATGGAGGACATCAACCTTCAAAAGGTCACTTTACATAATTGAACACACACACACACACACACACACACACACACACACACACACACACCTGCTTTCTATTATTCAACAGGAACATGTAATAGTAGCTCATATGTGCTGAGAGCTTCTGTACCAAGAGCGACACTCAGGGTTCCACACATACTTATTTGGTCATCCTTCCCAGAGAGGCCACAGGCAAGACAACACCATTCCCAGATCACGGAGGCGGAGGCGAAGGACAGAAACCTAATGGAGCATACTCAAGGTCACAGGAGTCACTGGCTTCTAGTTCTCATGTGATCTGTGTATACAAATGTTAATCTGGGGCAGAGAAACCAGAAAAATTAAGAAAAAATAATGATACTATAATAATCAAAATACATATCATAAACAAGTGGAGGCCTTT